ACTATCTGAGGGCAGAAAAGTAGACTGTCTTTGACCTCTTCCCCCCCAACCTTTACGCACACCGTGCCAGGGCTTCTGCCCATAGATTTATTGTGGCCTCCCTGCTTTCAGGGCTTGGCGATGGCAAAATCTCGCCATGATGTAGCCCCTCCACTGCAGAAATGAACATCTGCCTGCACAGTTTCACAACACATTAGCACACGTCTTATGATGCTATCTGTGATCCTGATAGCATCTGCTCTGACAACTAAATCAGTGACTACACATGTCAAGCCCAGTGTCTAACTGTGCACACACATCTGTGCATGTGGACCTTATTTCATGGAGCAGATGTGTAACTAAAAAGTTGTTCATAAATCAAAGTGTTGTACATTGCAAAATGCCCCAAGGAGACTTGATATTTAAAGTGATCCCGTGTTGAGTTCCTTCGTGAAGACAAGCATCCTTTGGTAAAATAAGTAATCATAAGCCCTTGCTTTGAGTTTTGTGGCTAGATTTTTCGCCTCTTTGATTTCTTCAAGGTGAAGGGACAGCATCCACTAACCTCAGTTCTGGGCACTGTCAACATATGTACGTCCTTGTGTGTTTCTCAGAGGTTTCACTTGTTACTAATGCCCCTCGGGATGGGGAGTAAGTTCTGGTTCTGGAAGACCCTTGGGAACAGGCACAAAGTCCCCTGACTGGACCCTATTGTGGAGACATTCAGACCTCCGCTCCAGAATGCACGAGCCAAATAAGAAGGAGGGTCTGCACCCAGAAATACCTCAGGGTAGGAGTGGTTTACCGCCTGGACTGTGAAGTCAACAGACTGCCGCCTAGCACCCCAACCCCAAAGATTCTTATTAAATTGCTGTGGGGTGGGTGGTTATTCTATTATGCAACCAAGGTAGAAAACCACTATTTTGAAATATAGTAGTGGTCCAAGATCCACACTGGACTTAGGGAATCAGAATATTAGAAAATCAGGTCCAAGCACCTTTGTGTTTTAAGTGACCCACTGATGATTCTTTGTGTGGTGCAGGTTAAAAAAAAATCTTTTCTCTTGGAGGCATAATTTCAGAATAAAGCTCACATTCTGGAAGGGAGAAGACTCAGAAAAAAGTGTACTATTTCCTAATTCTGGGGTTTTCAGAAAGTTTTAGAGGATGTATTCACAAGGGTCCCATGCCCCCCTTCAGAAATCTAGTAAATGTTTTGTGAGGTCTCATAAATGCCTCACACACATGGGCAGCTCTCATATCTCTTGACCCACTTAGCCAGAAAATTGGACTGCCCCCGACAGTAGCTATGGGTCAGAATTGCTATCCGTTGGCCATTTTATTTCAAACACCCAATGTCTGTACCCCCTGGAAGAGGGATCTGAGTCAGGGTCACATGCTTTGGAGATCTTGTACCTCGGCGGTGGAGAACTCTTTCAGCCACAGCTACCCTGCATGTACCCTGGGGCAGTCTAAAGTTTTTATTCTTAATATACGGGTATATCTGCCTTGTTAGTCCATCTGTTCAGACAGACTGCTCACCGCCTAAGGTTATCAAAATAGTTTCCTCTGACATGTTTATGCCATGCGGATCTCCTGCTAGCTTTCCTCTTGTTTGCCCCCGGGGTGGAACTGGGCTTGCTGGATGAGGCTTCTGCCAGCGAGGGGACATACCGATTCAGACTAACCTCTTAATTGGGGTATTTCTAATGAGTTGCCAAGCTGTTGACATAGAAGGCTGAGGGTTCATTTTTGGAAACGGATGAGTTAGGGAAGGGGCAGACACCATTTGAGGCGTACAGAGGCCCGGAAGTGACAACGAGAAAAAAACAGAATGCAGAAACGCCAACGGCTGCAGCTGGCCTTACCTCTGCCATCAGCGAGGCACCTGTTATAACCCACAGGGCTGAAGTACTCGAAGACAAAGACAGCCACGGCTGAGACGATGAGCAGCATCACGAACATCATAACCCATACGTCAGCACTGAATGGCTCTGGGGAAGGAAAGAAAAAATTAGCGCTCAGAATTAAAACAGAGCAAAAACAGATTCTGACTTATTTGCATATCCATTTGCTCAGGCAACACGTGTTTTCTGAGGGAAGAACAAACCACAGTTGTGTTGTGTCCCTTCAGAGAGCCAGGGCCTGGGCGGGGGAGAGGTGAGAGGTTATGTCTGGGTGTCTCCATTGCCCTGTTTCTTTTCTTCCAGAGAAGGAGAGCTTCTTGCCTCTGAACTTTTTGAGATAGTTTCTGCCATGGCCAGGAAATGCACAACTACAAGAATAACTAGATCTGGAGTAAATGAATCATACGGGTGTGGTTCATGGTTTATGTTCTCACCTATATGGCTGGCCACACCACATGACGGAGACCTGGACAAGCTTTCACCAATGCTTCCCAGGCTTGCGTGCAAATTAATTCTCAACAGGCACGGTCACTACTTCCGGCCTAACTTGGTTCAGTAATAATTACATCCAACGAACAACTCTTTTGCCCCCTTGCCTCACCTCCTCTAATCTTCCCAGCCTATATTTACTTTTCAACCCTCTTTATTGTGGTGGATTTTATTAAACATCGTTAGGGTATGAGAATAGAAGTCAACGTCCCCAAAAAAAAAATCCATCCACGTTGACAATCCATGACTGTCACGGTGGGGATGCAGCAGGTGACAAGGAAACTTGTTTCAGGTGTAATTAACAAAACAACTACAAGCTATTCCCTAACAGTGAATGAAAGGGGTTGATAGGATAGGACCAGGTAGAACAGCAAGAGAGTGCTTTCTTTAATTTCTTTAATCATTCTTGCTGAATCCCTCCCAGCTGATCCAAACCTCTCTGGCTTAGACGCGTCTAGAAATTGAACACCATATTCCAAGAGCCACCTCACCGAAGGCCTACAAAAAGGGACAATTGCTATTCTTTGCCATGATATGATGTTCCCTCAATTGTGTCTCAAAATAGTTCTGGCCTTTTTAGCTGTCACATCACATTGTAAACTCATAACTAAGTGAATTAACATACTGTTTTTTCCATTTCCCAAATCATTAATAAAGATGAAGTTGAAAAAAGGGAAAAACTGGCTAGAAATTAGAAAATATCCTCTTACTTGAAATCTCTGCTTTACTTTTGGACTTTTGAAGGGAATTATACAAACCCGGTCACTTAACAATTTAAAAAGGACCTCGATAAGGCACACATCCACTGTGAAATGTAAAACCTTTCAGTGGCAGCCAGAGATGTGAGGGTAACAGGTTTAATTCAAAGCCTCTATATGGTGGAGTACGGAAGGCCCCTCCCCTCGGCTCTCATGGACTGCAGTCCTATCCAGATTAAAGGCATCCTCTCTGAGCTTCCTTCTCCCCCACTGAAGCAAGGGCAAGTTTCTGTGTACAAAATACAACAAGCATTTGTATTGGTCTTTACAATTTAGAAGGTACTTTCACCGTATAGTTTATACAATCCTTATAATGGCCCTTTCATTATGGTATCACCATTTCTATTTTACAGAATGGCAGGGCCAGGTTATAACCTGAGGTACTCTGGGGCAAAGCGTATCTCTGCCCACCACACTGGTTCCTGATTTAGGAGTTGCACTCTGAAATGGCTCCACGACTATTGGAACACAGGCTCTGAAGGCAGCCACCTCTGGGTTTTAATCCTGGATTTGCCAGCTATGAACTGACAGATTGTTGGAAAATTGCTTAACAGATCTAAGATTCAGTTTCCCAAGACATAAAATGTGTATAATAATGGTATCAAGGAGATAATATACCAAAAGGATGTACAGTATTGCTTGGAAAACCACATAATAGGTGTTCAATAAATGTTGGCTTCTTTTGCCCTTGTAATTAATTGCTTCTCCTCCGAACACACACACACACACACACACACACACACCCTGCTTGGCACTACTGTGTCATTTTAGGGCTTTGCTGATATATCACAGGCTCTTCCAGTTCAGAAGCTGAGGTTAATGCTATATTGTGGTTAGAATTAGAATGCACTTTTGTCTGTGTCTCTTAATGTTCCAATTATCCTTGCAAAGTAAAAAAGCAAATAAAATACATAAAGCTGCTATGAGGATTAATGCATATAGTGTGTGCTATCTAATAGTATTTCACATGAAATTGGCAGGTCCAGAATTTGCTCTACTCTAAGAAGGCTAGCTGAGAAACTCGAGTAATTTATGGAAAAATTCTATGGAACCTATAACTCTATTTTATAGTGCATTAATTAAAAACTTCCCCTTTCCCCCACTGCCTGCCAGATAGAGCTTAAAGAAGTATCAGTCAAGGTCTATTCCAATATCCTCATGAAAAAAAAAAAAAAGTTGAAGTCCTTCAGAGAGTTTGTGACTCGTCCAAGGGCTTACAGCTTGTTTATGTCCAAGCCAGGCCTCCTGCCTCTTAGCCCAATGTCCTGTTTTCAAGGTGACATTTTATTTTCCAACCCTTTGCTCTCACGGCCTCTGCAAAAAATATGGGGTATGAGCTCACAAAGGACCTCATCTAATTGAAATCTTGGCCTTATCTCACCAGGTCTTATATCACATCTAAGGCTTTGACACATAAGCGATGCTGGAGAGCAGCGAAGTACAGAACGACATGAGGAAGGGCGGGGTAAAATGGGAGCGAGCATCAGATCAGCTGTATCTCTCAAAGCTCTGAAAAATGTATGCGAAAAAAAAAAAAAGCCTCTTTTGGTAGCACTGACTTCAATCTTTGAAGATAATTAAAAAGGCATTTCAATGATATCTAGAATTAGAAATTATTTTTTTTAGATTTTTTTAATGTTTTATTTAATTTTGAGAGAGAGAAAGACACACAGAGTGTGAGCCAGGGAGGGGCAGAAAGACAGAATCTAAAGCAGGCTTCTGGCTCTGAGCTGTCAGCACAGCCAAATGTGGGGCTCGAACTCACAAACTGTGAGATCATGACCTGAGCCGAAGTTGGACGTCCCTAGAATTCGAAAGTATTAAAGCAGGGAGAAGTACCCTCTGAGATCAGCTAGTTGAAATGCCTTCTTCTACAGACGAGGAAACTGAGTCCCAGGATGGAGCACATTTGCTCAGGGTCAAGTGTGGAGTAAGTTGCAGGAATGAGACCAGAGTAGGAACCCTGATTACTAGCCTAAGGCTGTTTTCTTCCAGGGTCCTACGCTGTCCTATCAATTGTTTTTGGGTATTCTTCAGTTTTTATATTTGAGAATAATCAATATTTAAGTCCCCCAAATTAAATGGGCTCCTAGAAACCACCTCCTGACTGAAAGAGCCTGGCCATGTGCTCGCTCCTTCACTTAATCCTCATACCAAGTATCTGTCCTTACGTCCATGTCCTTCACACCAGTGAGCATATCACTTACCTAAGAAGGCAGAAGGTGAGACAGTCCCATTGCTGCGTGACACCATGACACTGATACCGGTCTCTATGAAGGGCACAGAGAAGTCGACCACCTCGGATCGCTCCTCATTGATGGTGAGTGATCCCACGGCCATATAGGCCCTCTTCATAACCACCTGGGAGAAAGGCACAGTGCTTCAGGTAGGGCACTCAGGAAGGCCAGGGGCCACCGCAAGGAAAATACAGCCAGGCAGTGGTTTCCTTAGTATAGTGGGAACAGGAGAGCCTGTTCACGGTTTTGTATTTTCTAAAATTTATAAATGAGCCTCTTTTTATATTAACATGAAACAAAACCCATGAAAAATGGAAACGGCCCTTACTTTCTGACACTCACCTCTCCAATCATACCATTCCAGGTTCCATTGATTTTCTTCCCATGCTTGCCATTGGTAACCAGGTAAAGATCATAGGTGAACTTCACAGATTTGGAAATTTTCTTAAGGATGTCAATACAGAACCCCTTGCAACACTTTTTGATGTAACCTGGCTCCTCATCTGTTTTGTTCCTAACCGGTTGAAGAAACAAACGAACAAACAAACAAACAGACAAACAAAACAAGGCTTTATACAAGAGGCAGCTTTTATCCTTTACCATTCAAACTCCAACCCCAAAGCAGGACCTCCCTTTCACAGCTCAGCACAATGTGTATCAGACCCGAGTGAGGAAATCGATAGACGAAAGAACTGCAATTCTTTCATTAGCTCATCACGGTGAACATTTCCTCACAGTTTTTAGTGCTCCTTTGAAGTATAATGTACATTAGGAAAGCGTGCATATCCTAAGGGTTCAGTTGGAAAAATCTGTATACATTCAACCTGCCCATTTAACCAGCACCAAATCCAGGTACAGAAAAGTTACCCTCTTCTCTCTTCCAGGCACGTCCCACTCTCACCAAAGAGAATCATTATCCTGACTTCTAACAGGATAAATTAGTTTTACCCATTTCCAAAAATGTTCCTAAATCTCAAAACTTCGGGGCATGATGGCACAAACACCAATGCAAATTTACATCTCCTAAATTTCAGGTCCTGGTTGTTGAGATCGGGCAAGGCCAAAGATACGTTAGCAGAGTTAGCAGTTCTCCCAGGTCATGATCTGGACAGACCCAGGCATCACACCACAGGTCTGCTAGTATTTCCACGGCTCAGTAGTAACTGACAATTGAACATGGTGCCCAATTCATTCTATGCCTCAAGTCCCAGCCCAGGCAGGTGCTGACAGCTGTATGAAATCAGACTATCCCATGCCACCCAGAGCACTGGGGAAGGGGCCATACTCAGAGACTATGCGTTTTTGGCAGGGGACTGTGTTCCTCATGCAGGTTCCACTCAGAGGGTCCACACTTTCCACAATGACAAAGGGGGCCTCCTCCAGGGTTACAATGCTCAGATGGTCATCCTCCTGTTCTTCTGTCTCAGGACACATTCGGGGCCACACGTAGTACTTCATCTGCAGGGACTTGTCTTTCCACTTCCCCACCTGCACAGGGGTAAACAAAAGACTCAGAAACCACTGGCAGAGAGAGACCTAAGCAATCTCTCCTTAGCATCACCCAGGAGGCTGTTAAACAAATAGAAACAGACACAGGCATTGTATGTAACAGAGAGGAAATTCTTTTTAACCTATATGCCTAAAACGAGACTACCATGTCCATACCTAAGAAAGGTAATATATTCATTTGCTCACTCACTTACCAAACATTAGAAGAGGATCTACTATGTGCTGGGCATCCTTCTCAATAAACCCTGTGGCTCAAAGAAGCATGATTCTGCCCTTTGTCAAGCTCACATTGAATGAAGGAGTCAGTAATGTAAACAAATGTTTACAGTGATAGATGGTAAGTGCTCAAACTGAAGCCTGTATCAAGGGCTGGGAAGATGCCAGAGTTTCCTGACTTGTGCGGCTGGCGCTTTTTTCTACTTAACTGTAACAAGGAGCATGATAGTGAGAGCAGCAAATAGCTCCAGAAAGGTCAACAGAATGACTGGAGCAAATGAGCCAGAAGGATGTGTTTTGGCTTGTAACAGAGGTCCAGTGGGAAGCCATGTGGAGAACTGGGTAGATCTGAACTGGAATAAAATGATAAGTCAGGATTAAAGAACACAGCTCCGCTGGGGAAGGAAGTGTGGTTGGGCTGGTGGCGAACGCCATGGGTCAGTGCAGATATGCACCTGCTGGGTTGGGTGGGGGCACCAGGATCAATCACACAGGTCTTCCTGTGTGCACAGGCTCTGTACCCCTACTTCAGGGCGCACCATTCAAGCATACTCCGGCGTGAGAGGTGGGTGCCCCCTGGAATCATTCACAGGGTGGCCCTGCTACCAATCATCAGGAGAAATGTGTGGGTTCCATTATCTTTTAGAAGAGCCATTCATTCCTGTTTTTATAATAGAATCTGCATGACTTTGTTGGTGGGTGCCTGTTGTCACTCTGCCCTTGAGTTTCCTGAAGAGGGAACACCTTTTCATCTACAACCAGACATCCTCAATTACCACAGGAATTATGGACTGTAAGCTCCTGCATTTTCCCAATCTATAATTTCCTCCATGCAGCAATGCAAATTAGTAGCATAAGTGAGGCACCAGGACTACAAGACTACTTAATCATTAACTACATAAATCAACAAGCAGCAACAAATGGGCAGTACTTCATGAATTTTCAAGCAAACGGGCTTAGATTTTCATATTCCTACAAAACCAAAATTCCTTTGTTTCTGCCTTTGTCTGCCTAGGTGTCTACCTAGTACCTCCCTAGGGGTGGTTTGTATCTCCCTCCAACCTGTGTAGCAGGGGCTGCTTACTTTCATGCCCGTATTAGGCTTGCACAGCCACTGCCCCGGTTTTACTGCATCACTACAACAACGGACAGTGGTTTGGTGTCCTGGGTCAACCTGTTGGGCATTAGCCTTGGCGCTAGTTTTCTTCTAAGTGCGTAAACCATATTTCGCTTTTGCATTAGAGTTATGCACTGGACCTAGAGTTGGCTTTCCTTTATGTATGTAGTCTTCTCCGTAGTGAAGGTCCCATTTTGGTGCAAGTCTGTTTTTCTTCATATTGCTAAGAGTACTTATTTCTAAAGCAGAAATATCCAAATAGCTTCTCAGCCACGTGGGGATATGGATGTCTTCAGCTAGTGGTTACAGGGGTGGCGGGACTCGGGGGCAGGGAGAACCCATCATGGAAGCCCATGATGTTGGGTCACCTCCAAGTCCAAGTAGCCCTACGTATTGCAGTGGCCAAACTGGGATCATTTTCTGTGTTCAACGATGGGGAAAAGTTGGGAACCTCTAATGTACCTATTTTTATTTATTTTGTCACTCTTACCATCTTCTCCCAATAGTCCCTGTCGAGTTTTTTCTTTTGAATCCACATTTATTCTCTTCTATCTTTACTACTTATTTGCCTAGTTCCATGGTGCAGCAGCCCATTCTGGGATTACTGCAGGCCACTGCAAACTTCACGCAGGGAACCCCCTAGAGCGCACTGTGGACACTGCTCCCAGATGATTCTTCCTAAAACATCACTATTCAAGAATTGGAATATTCATCCCTATTCAAGATTTTCAACAGCCTCTCACTGCCCTTGGGATGTGTCCAAACTTCTCACCTAGATGGTCAAGGTGTGTGTGCTGAGCCTAATGTATCTTGACAGAGTTCACTATTTTGAAACATGAATCCTTTGTTCATATTGGAAAAGGAAGTTATTGATATTGACAGCCAAAACAGATTAATCAGGTAGACGTTTTAACAAGTAAGCTGTGTGTTGTTGACTAAGAGACTTATTCTATTTGTAAAACAAAAATGTTGCAGGCGTAGCATTCTGGCAAAGTTTCAGGACATCCCTGTGGATGGCATGCGATATAATATAGATTATTGTATACTTTGATAGATTTAAAAGGAGTTTAAAATCTATACCCAAAAAGGAAAAGAAAATATTGTTTAATGAATCAAGGTCATCACGGAAAGAGGTCTTTAGTGACACTTCAGGAGATTCTGTACTTGCAAGTGGCGTGAACAGTGTTTCATAAAACCAAACAGAAGTAATGCTTACAAAACTGCAGACAACACAAAGCTAAATGGGATAGAAGATATACCGCATTGCAGAATCAAGGTTGGAAGTGATATGAATTAATTGGAATGGACTAAACCAAATGGGATGAGATTTAATAGTATTTATACATAAAGTCTAGCATTTAGATTTTTTAAAAAGCAACTGCACAGTATTTAAAAGGCCATATTTCAATTAACAGCAGTCTATAAAAGCTGTTGCACTAACAAATGGGGCATTTATGGCTTTACAGAATCCAGCACACGTGGTGAGGAAAGGGCACAGACAATCCCACTCGGCACTGTGTTCATCATACCACAGCTGGAAAATTAGATTCTGCTTCTATAATTCTATGACCAAATGATCATATTTACTAGATCATTCTCACCTATCCAATAATAATCTGCACATGGAGTCCCCTCTAGCACACCTTTTCCCAACTTCCTGAAAAAGCTAGCCAGGTCATTCCTTGCTTCACATTAGTTAAATTCAACCAGAAGCAATTGCATGCCAATTTTGTGCCAGGGACGGGGCTGTGTGTTACAGATAACAGCACCAGGTGGCGTTTAGCAAGGCCTTAGTATATGGTAGGCACTGAACATTCCAGTAATCTCATTGATCATCACAGCAAGCTTGTGAGAAACTGAGCCGTCTGGCTCCTGAGTTTGGGCTGTTCCCTCTGCACTGCACTGCTTCTCTGTCAACGAAAGGATAAAACATGACTCCTGTCCTCTGAGGACAGTCTAGTGGGGGAAAGACACTCTCTATTGACAATAATATCAAATTTTTTAGGCTTTGGTAATTACCCTAATAAAAGGTATAAATCAAGTACTCTGGGATTCAGAATAGAAGTAATTACTTCTGAAAGGGTTGGGGTGATGGGAAAAAAGCTTGATGAAGACACGTCTCTTTGAGTGGGGCATTGAAATGTGACAGTGCATTTGGTGAAGAGTACTTGATCCACTGAGGCAATAGCAAGAACAAAGGATCAAGTCCTACAGTTGCTCAAAAGAAAGATCAAGGATAGTCCTTCACAGCTGAAAGGGTTGATGGGGTGGGGCGGGGGGCGGGGGAATGGTCTAGCTCAGTTCTCCTCCTCTTTTAGAGACCTGTTCATTCCAGCCGGACAGTCTCTGTTCTGCAGACAGCCAACTGGATAACACGAGTGTTATCCTTGTTCAATGGCCTCACACTGGTAGCTTGAAATTGGCTTCAAATGGCATCCACAAAGTTGGCAAACACAGTAATTCAAGGCTTCCTCTGCCCACCCCCACCCCCCGTTGTTAAATATTTACCAGCTCACAAATGGCCAGAGTAACCAAATCATTCATTATGTCATGCTATTTACTGCCTTGGGGACTAACTTTTCAGGTGTCTTGTCTCCTACACTAAATTCTGAATGTAACCCTAAGTATTTTTGTGACCACGGACAAATGTTTAAAACTCTGAGTCTCAGTTCCCATATCGGCAGAATAAGGGAATGATTTCTAAGGTGCCTTGCATAAAATCTCATGATCCCAGGATCTTTTTAGGATGAAGTTCTCTACCATACTTCCATCTGATCAGAAGCCAGTGAAAAAGTATTCTACATGGTTATTTTCTGAAGCGAGGGAAGGATCTAATTTATTTATACAAAAAGATTAGCTTGTCTTAAAGTCCTGACTCTTTTGTATTGTTTCTTTAAGGATGACTGCAGTGAAGAAGAAAAGTTAACAAATTCCTTGAGGGCTGAAAGAGAAATAATTTTAGGAAAAAAATATCCCTCTGCTATAAATACCAGATTCAAAATGCTGTGCAGTGCCCATGTTAAAGAACACGTTTAGTAACCTCGAATTAGCTACCCCTAGGCAAAAGAGAGCAGGGCAGTTAGAAACAAGTGAACTAAAATTAAGTAAAATAGGAATTGTTTGTGTAGAAAAATAAGGTATGTTTCAATAATTGTTTTAAGGGGGAGGAAGTATGCTGGAGATGTAGATAGGAGAGCTTGTCAAGAGTGAGAAAGAATTGGGGTGCCTGGGTGGCTCAGTCGGGTAAACATCTAACTTCGGCGCAGGTCATGATCTCGCAGTTCACGAGTTCAAGCCCGACGCAGGGCTCTGTGCTGACAGCTCAGAGCCTGGAGCCTGCTTCGAACTGTGTGTGTGTGTGTGTGTGTGTGTGTGTGTGTGTGTGTGTGTCTGCCCCTACCCCACTCGTGCTCTGTCTGTCTCTCTCTCTCAAAAATACATTAAAAAAATTTATAAAAAAAAAAAAAAAAAAAAGAGTGAGAAAGAATAGCAGATAGAAGCCTGAGACACCAAAAGGGAAGATTCTGAATGCTTTCCTAGAATATCTGAACTGGCGTGAGTTTGTAATACCGGAAATGCAGAGAGTCGTAGGAAATGAGGTCAACAGGAGGTACTTCAGGGAAGATACAGTGAGAAACACTGAATG